CTTATATATTGCCTCCGAGGACATTGTTGTTCGTGCACGTTTTCATTTCGTTTTCGATTCCAAACAATAACAAGACTATATTATTTTGATAATATAAGCGTGTTCCTCCCGAAATTATACAAACACACACGGTCGTCACGTCTTTGTACAAGACTATATTGTTGTGTTACATATTTATTGTAATTATTAATATATGATATTATATTATCRCGATGCAATAATAAGATCCACGCGTGCTTACTCGTTGCGACTATAATAAAAACAAACACATGTTAAGCATGAAATATTTGAAGAATGACGAGTTATAAATAAACATATTAAAAAAAAAAATTACTYAGCTTGGCTGACGTATATTTCGTTAACGATTGTAAAATGACCCGCCAGAGCTTATATTTCTCTTRGAAAATGTATATTTTGTGTTTTATAACACTTGGCATCATTATAATATATATATATGTATAAGCAGCATGTGACAGTTATGACGGATGACTTTTACGGCACCCGTCATTATTATGGAACGCTCTCGACTCCGAAAAACTTGACCCATTACCCTACACACATAGCGATATAGAGTGATCTAATAAAACATAAATAAACATCCGCGACTGTTATTTTTTTGTATATAATAAAAACGTACATAATACAATATAATATACACACATATATAATAACGCACCTACACACAAATTGTGTTTGTTTCATATCGCCCTGAACGACCGTTTTCCCATTAATATATTTTTCGTGGAATCGATTGCATTTTTTTATAGAACTATTCATTTTAACACGGCTCGCCAAATAATAATATTATACCTCTCGTACCCTGAGTCTAAACCATCATCGAAACGGTCTCTCTTCTCACCGCATTATATTGTTTCGCAGTCCTCCGAGCACTGAATTGAATATAATATTGAACGAATATTGCAGGGTCTGACAACGTGTTCCACCTTAGTAGGCTGCCATTTTGAGTCTTGACGTGTGGAATAAACAATAAAACTCATCTGCGCAATTTCTGACAGTGTTTGTTCCCACATAGAATCCCTATGCTCAGTTTAGCGTAGACCAGCTAGTGGTCCTCAAACTTTTTTACCACTAATGATTAAAAATAAAACCATGCAAAATTTACATAGTTAAATAAATTTATTTTAAACAAAAAKGCAGTAAAATACTAGGTACGTTGAACTTTTTTATTAATACCTACCAATTTATTGGTGTTTTTAAATTACGCCTTACCATTACGYCGTACCATAGTTTGCTAGTTTTTTCACTACTAGACAAGTACTGTGTATTTGTCGATAAGGCCATTGCGGTTGACCCGCACTTACGATAGTCCGGCTCAGTCACCGAAAAGCGTCCTCAATCTTATGCCGCTTGCCATACATTACGCGTAACTTGTMCAGTATTTTAAGGTCTATACGCGACGACGATATGGCGTTATAAAAAAAATCAAGAGCAGTTTMGGTATCACTTGTTATCTATTTASGACGACGACGTTGATTTGRCAGTTTTATACAGAGGTCGCCTAGGTCGGTGTCTGCTCGAGTGGTGGCGAGGAAGTGGTTTGGCGGGTGACGATCGTAGGGAAAAAGGCGAAGTACTCGACGGYGGCCTTGGCCCTGCGTCGCACAATTCGGGAACCTCGTGGCCGACAGTGGACGCGGTGGGTATGAGGACTCGACAGAAACGCTACGAGTGCTAACTGTGGCCGAGCGAGAATCGTTCATTCGGGCGCCGAAATCCCAGTGGGGCCAACCGCAGGAATAAGAGACAGACCAGCTAGAGGAGTTGTTGTGGTGTTGGCCATCCACATTTAATCGGTATAAGAACAATGAAATACCACCGGCATACCACAGGGTTATCGATGGAAGAAAAGCTGGAGACGCTAAACAAAAAAAAATATTTCTGCCTATGAAATGAATCATACAAAGAACATTGGCAAGCTCAAAATGGCGGCCTGCGTAGTAGGTTGACATATTAAGGCTTTGCAGACAATACGCGTTTCGCCTTCCGCGTATTCAGTTCAGTGCCTCCGCGAGTATTTACGATTAAACGCTATATTTTTTCYGAATAAAATATTATAATGATCGTCGTCACAAACATAAATCGTTACCGTTTCTTTAGTTTCTTACCGTTCGAGGGACAGTGATATTAAAATAATCGAATTATTAATACGATGGTATGTAGTTTACGATTTATTTATATACGTTTTCCAAAAACCAATTWTCCGCAATTATCCGCAGTAAAACGTGTACGCGCACCGATGTCGCGTTTCGCGTTTTTATAACGACAAAAATAAATATTATAATTATCATACCTATAACATTATAAATATTATTGCAAGTTAACCTCACCGTCCGTCACCGTCGTTGATGGTTGACTTGGACGTGACGCTCCGTGCTAACGTTTTATTATGCCTATCGTATTATTACGCGATTACTGTGACGTATCTTACGCGCATATAAACTACCGCCAGTGAATATTGTACAGAAAACCGCTCGAATACTATCATCACAAATATGACGGATATTCGCGATATTCTGACGACAATAATCAGTTATGACAAGTCTCAAATATAGGTATATAATCAAACTCGAACAAAACACGTTTAAAACGCGCGAATCGATTGAATCAGCACGACACTGACACAGCCGCCATTTGCAGTCACCTTTGCTCCGTGACTTTCAAACCAGCTGTGCGGATACCTACGTAGGTAATATAATATGATAAATACAAAATAATATTACAATGATATGCTGCGTAGACACTTGTTGGGGGACTCTTGAAATGCATTATAAATGTATTATTCGAGTATAGTTRATAATATTATTACGCGAGCGCCAGCCATATTGTATATATAGATCAACGCCGAGGCGAAAGCGGGTGACGGCCAACGATGCAATCKCATTGAAAATTGCAATATAATATACGTGTGACGTCCAACTGTCCAAGTGACGCGTTTTATGCAAAACAAAAATCGACCGGTACGAAACGTTTACATGTCGTAGTGTGACCTTCGTGATCTAAGCGACTCGACACACAATATTGGAGAGTTGAACTAGTTCGGGGCAATGCGTGCACTAGCGGACGGGGCGGCGACGGCCATCTCGATGCGACGATAGAATTGTTTTTTTTTTTTATTACGTTTTAATTCTTTCGTCCGACGATTCCGGGTGAAAATGCATCACTAGAATTTTGCGTTGGCCGCCGTCGAAAAACACAGGTTTGCGTGCGAGTTTTTTATTTTTTATATTTTTCGACCAATAAAACCATTTCATGCGAACATTGAATGATAGTGGCGAGAGTGAAGTGTGGTCGCGACACCTACGTGTAAAACATGCGACGTATCGCGTGCCCTGACACTGATTCGTGCAAAGTTGGATCACGGTCGTGTACGATCGCGGTGGAGGTGGTTGCGGTGGTGGTTAGTAGCGGTGTGTGCGTGTGTTTGTGTATGTTTGCGTATGAGTGTATATTATGTTGCGGTGGGAGACGGTCCGACCATTGTGTGGTTACCATGGTTACGGTATAAATCATCGTTCACCTGCGTCCGTTCCCTCGGCTGGCATTAAATCCTTGTAATTTCCGAGAGAAAACTTCGCCGGGGGAAACTATTAAGTTTCCAAACCCAAATTAAGCACGTAACCGTTGAGCTTCTTATCTACCACCGTCGTGGTGGCGGCGTGTGTATGGAGTTGGCACGCCGAATTCGATTATTCGGGCGCGGGCGCCGATGACGAGCGTAGTGAGCGCCGTCTCTGCCGCCGCTGCTCCCGTCGAAGGTGAACCGATTGTATGGGTTTTAATTCACGACCGACCAATTCGGTTTTGAAGGCAAGACGAAAACCTACCCACATGCTGTAACCAGCTCACAACACGATCAGATCAACTCCAATTATGTGCACGCGACACTTCTGATAATAATAATTATCATCATAACACACGTGTACCTAATAGTTTTAATAGTAACGAAACAGTGTATTATTATCTCTGCATAATATAATATACCGACTATCTATAGACTCTCGATATAAAAWAAACACAATTTATGAGCTGTGTCGTAATAATTATGTTAGGGATAGATAATATAATATTTTTGTGTACCTCATTGTATTTTTTAAGTAAAATGTGTTTAGAATGTTTTTTTTCCGAAACTTTTTTTGCGCACTGACCGCGCAGTGTACCATTCAATATTTTTGGGCTAGTATTGAAAGTAGTAAAGAAAGTATCTTTGATATGTTTGCTCCAGAGAGACTAATCGCAATTTATCCGATGTAATCATAATTTAATAATATTTTGTACTCGTGTGCATAATTAAAATAAGATAATTGTACCTAACCTAACCTATACATTCAAGGTGTGTTATCATGACTTTTCAATCATGTCTAGAGTTCCAGATACATATTATATTAGATGATATAATATGCCGTTTTGACAAAATATTACGATTTATAGCGTTTTGATACTCATTTAATTTTCCCGTTCGGGTCAATGTATTTTTTCGATGAAATTATTACGACCCTTATAATTTTTTTCGATGTAATCAAAGCGTAAGGTAAACTGCAAGTCTTTTTTCCGGGAGGCATACAATACACRAATACACCAGAATCCAGTCACGTCGCGACATCAAAATAATAATCAATATTCCCCAAAAAATCTATGGTGTTTAAAATACCATATTACCACAACCATCAATATTATTATACATTGAAACCTCCTCTAAATACCGGACATTTTTTGTCACCAAAATTTCGTCCGCTATTTGGAGATTTCCGCTATCGAGAGGTGTCCGTTAAGGGAGGTTTCACTGTACTATATTAGTTGATCTTAGTCTGCGGTTTGAGTGCATTTAAAACAGCTTGTTTTCATTATGTTGTTTAGGACTCGAGCCCTTATTGTATTATAAACATCATACGTACTATAAATAAGTACCTACCCCTACAACACTGTTGTCGGCCGTATTTTGAACGCCTTCTTACGGACATCATTGTATTTCTGCCCAACAGGGATTGCCTGGGATCCGGGTTCCGTTGAAGAGCAGTTATGCGTCGGCATTGCCCCAACAGACGGCGGTGTTCATGTACAGCACCGCTGGCCCGGACGGACAGACAGTCACGCTGCAGCTGCGCGAGACGGACGAGACCATCGAGCTGCCCGCGTCCATGCTGTCAAAGATGTCCCGGCAAACGGACACGGCCACGTTGTCCATCAGCTACCAGGACTCGGCGGAGGTGCTCACCGACGGCACCATCGACCTGCTTCTGGCCACCACGCCACTTCACTCTTCCGGTAAGTCCGTTATTTCAACATACATTTTATATTATACATACAGCTTGTATTAYGGAGGTGCGCTATTAATTTTACTATAATATTGACAAAACAACACATCATAAAACAGTTATTATACATCAATAATCGATGCTGTTTAAGTATTCCGAGTGTAATATCTCATAGGCGTTTGCCATATTTACCGATTACTGCTTCTTTATTTAATATATAATATAATATGAAAAKWTTACTAATTACGGATCTTCTGCAAAAATCAGTACACAAGCGCATGATACTGAAGTGTTTTTTTGTTCATTCTCGGTCAACTGCCGTGGCAACTATTGGTTAGGTATTATTGGACCACAAACGTCCCCCCCCCCACCAGTAATATTTTATGTATATTTCAAAAGTGTCTACCTATCGCGTGGTCACCATTTTGTGGTATTTCGACAATTTTTTTTTTAACTTTGGCTTGTCGCAGTCGTCGGGTCCATTCGTGTAAAAAGCGTTTGGCAACGTCTCCGAGTTTTGTGCGTTGGGTACGCGTCGTTAATCGATTTGTATGTGTGTGTAGTTAAAAAACATTTTGTCCTCTGGCACGGACGGAATTCGTTGGTTTACCCAGCAYACTCCGTGGGTGAAATATAAATATATATACAACGCGTTCGTGGTTTTGGCAACGGTAAAATTCCTCTAACCATCCCCTTCGTGGCAACCCTTCCACCAGTTACACCACCTCAATAGCGCCACCAACCAGCCGGTCCACCACCACCTTATGTTATCACGGGAAGGTAGGTTTTATATATATATTTCGTCTCCCTTACACTCCTTGCACAAAGGTCTCTTTTTCTATCCTGGAATTTTTTGTTTTACTTTTATGACGTGCAATACCCATAAAATGACAAATAAGAGGCCCTTAACAATGACGGGGAGAACGCCTTTTGTTTATGGACGTCTGTAATTTATTTTATCGCCGTCACCCTCCTATCACCATATATACAACGTTCGCTTTCCCGCACTTCGCCACACGCATGGCATCCGAAAAGTTGTACTTGCTAAAGTGGTCCTGTGCTCGATTCTTTACTTGCCACCGCTCACAAAGGTTTACGTGCGCCACCGACGTATTACCCACTGCTTCTCCTACGTTAACGTMCAACGCTTACCGTATCAAACACACACTACACACTCAATGCATATAACACATTTCTCACCGAAAACTATCGTTCTGACTTCACACTTATGACTTAATTACGGTACCAATGAATTTTAAGTCGAGACCTTATTCCTCACGGCTTCTACCACTGAAATCTTAATGAAAAAAAGTAATTTGTCATTACGTTGTGTACATAATTATTCATAACAATAAATTGTTAACAAGGTTTGCAATGTTAAAGTACGCATCAACATGGTTTTATTGACCAAAAGTCGGAATTAAAAACTTTATGGGCGTATATATTATGATGTATTTATAATATTATTATTCGTAATTCCTAATATTAATTACATTATGTTAGTTCTTGAATARGCAAAGGGTTTAAAATATTTCCTACAAAAATGCATTAAACCCAACTTGTTTATTTGTATTGATATTTTTTCGTGAACAAAAAACTTTTTAATTCATTTTTTACAAAATATATTAAAAACGATTAAAAGTTTTTAGTAAAATGAACAWAGAAATAAAAAATTCAAAAAAAAAAAATTTCTTGGTAAAGCTTAATAAACAAACAATACATTGTTGCATACTACGTTTGCTCGTATGCAAATTATTTTTATTTTTATTTAATTTAAATTTCTGGAATTAGTTTTCAAATAAATCAATAATTATTATTTTAAATTTTAATTTTGTTATACCGGTGATTTAATAAAGTTGTGTTATTTTTTTTAAAATTATCATTAAAATAATGTATTGTACACATATATTATTACCTACTTAATTTTTGTGGTAAAAACGAAACAATGTTTAATTTTAGTTTAAAAAATGAGCGAAAAGCCAGACAATAATTAATGTAACTATAGTGGAGACTGAGGAGTTATATTTTTAAATCTAAAATTACACTGAAGTTCGTCATGCTAGGTTTTGTGAGTAGTGACAACTTTTATTATTCTAAAAAAATAATTATAATAACCATGCTAAATAATCATAATGATAATAATAAAATTTTTCTTTGTACATTTTCCTCATCTAACTTTTATCTTAGAGTATAATTTGTCAAATTGTTTTAAACCTAAAACCTTGAAAATCCGTTTATCATAATTTCAAGGGACAGACTAAGATGACAAAAAAATAATTTAAATGATTCTTTTTTTTTGATTTTCATTGCTGTTTTGCATTTTAATTATTTTTTAAGTCAAATATATTAGAATAATTCTTTTTTCTCGCCCAAACAATCAAATTTTCAAATTAGTTAGTCTCTTTATTTTGTTTTTGATACTTTTTGACACTTCATTTTCGTGAGTTGATTAATTTCACCATCAATACAAATATCATCATATAATTTGATTAGAAAAAGAAAACAAACACCCATAACTACCTATAAGTATTTATTTTTTTCAATTGTTCTTTATTTTACCATACATCCACAGGGAATGCAAGTTGATTTTGAGACAGTTGTTTTTATATATTTAGCTACGTTTCCCTAGAGAGGACGACCTTTTTTTTGTTGGGGTTGGTGACGGTTCGGTAAGGAAATGGAAAAAAAAATGCTTTGCTCCTTACGTGCTCGGTAAGATGTAAATTCTCGTTCTCCGCCCCGTTAATCAAATAAAAAATAAAAAATGAAAGAAATAACGATGAAAAAGAGGACGCGACCAAAATTGTTTAAAGGTCTATTTGCGCGCGGTGTACACATGGAATCGAGTTAATTTTTAGGGTGTCCTCAGGTTTCTTGGCAAACAACCAAGTGATACAATGTCTGTTCAGTGGATGTGATCCAAATTCAAGAGTACCTACCTATATAATATTATAATATTTTGTTTTAATATGTCTTATAATATGTCCCTTTACGATTGTTAAACTAATTTCCAACTGATTATAAACTATACAATTCTCTTATATCAGGGAAATAMGTCACAACAAAACATCTGTTTAAAATTACTTTGTTCATGGAATTACTGAAACAAAAACAATATGTCTCTCACTATTAGTGCGTAATAGCTTAATATTTCAATTAATTTTTTGTATGATAAAAATAGTAAATTTTACATTTTATTTTATTGTGGTTTAATATATTATGTAAAATTAAAATAATTCAATACTCTATTATCGAAACTAAAATAGTACAATTAATTATTAYTACTATATAATTATTTAACTAAATCATAAGTAATTACTTTTAGTTATATTTCTATTTAAAATCACTTTGATGTTTTAAATTACAAACGCCAAAGAGATAAAAATTCCCATTGCTTTATACACATTAGTCTAGTGGCTATAATCACTTGACCTTTTCAAACACTATGCCCTATGAAGTTTTCGTTYACTTTGGTAGAAATTCATTAGAGCGCAAAGGCCACGGGGAGGTCCATCTGTATCCAAAAAGACATTTYGGTCAAAATGTCAAGTTCCCCTGCTGGTGGCCAACAAATGGGTTACATATTCGACCGTCAACCCCCGTCGTGACGTTTAGAAGATCGTCTTTTTTCAAGCGAATGGTTTTAAAAATATATTATAATAATACTAACATCGGAATATTTTTAATATTGCAGAAAATTATCTTTTCTTTTGATCTTAAAATGCATCTGATGTTTCCGTTTAATGTTAAATCTTTTAACATATTTTATATTATTAATTTTGTCTTCTCAAAGATAAGCACCCATATACTATTAAATTAGAATAAAATTAATTGTGTATACTTACAGTTTTATAGTTTTCTCTGACTTCAATTTATTGCTTACATAAATCGTTTGTCACCGAAATTGATAATACAGTTTATTTTAAATGAGATAAATTAGCACGAGTATGCAAGTAACCGATACGATTATGAAAATATTTTACAGCAGAACAAAACCATAAGCATCTCGGAACCCTTTTGAATTATGTACATAATGTTAATAAGTATGCATTAAATAGGTAGGTACTTAGAACAAGGTTGACCGCTAAGACGAAATATTTTCAGGTTGACTGTTTACCCGGATAGAATGGGTAATATTAAGCTGCAAACTTATTTTGGTGAAACTTGCAGCGATAGATCCCGGTGGTAGTTGATGAAAAGTTATACTAATAAATGCTTGGAGTATACGCCAACAATGTTATTCAATATTGGTTATATGCGAACATCAACGATGTATTATAATACAATATACATTATTATACATACTTGCAAACTTTGTAGCGATAACGAAAGATCACAATAATAATACTATAAATATAGTAATAATACGTTGTACACACATATTTAAATTTCAATTGATAAATATAATTGTTCTACGTCGTTATTATTAGTCTTGTAAGAGATAGGTCATTTGTAAAGTATTCAAATACAGATATAGATATTGACTTTTAAAAGTATTTGAATACTGATTTGGCACATCAAAGAGAGTTGGTATGGCGTTAGGTTTAAGTTTGACAATCCCATTCTTATAAAAGCATTCAAATACAGATATAGATATTAATCTAAAAATTATATAAAATACGTATATGAAAAAAAAAACATTAATATTTTATAGATAGGTATACTTTCAAGTATTTTCAAATTGTTCATTAAATATTATTTAAACGTTATAAATCAATTAAACCTATCTCACGTTTTACGTTAATTTTAAAAAGAATAAACACCGCATCATATTTCGTATGATTTTAAAATACCCGTTTGCTTTCTTTGTCGAAGTATTTTCAGTTTTTGTTTGAATATAATTATTCACATTTAAAAATATATCATAGTATAAAGTATTCTGAATTTTAATTTTAATTTAAAGTCGTGACCAAAATTTTAACTGAAAATACATAAACTAAAATTAATAAGTATTTGAAAATCATTATTTTATTTTAAATACAGATACTTTGAGAAAGTATTTAAATTATGTATTTGAGTACTTAAAGAGTATCTATTTGAATGCTTTTACTCGAGTAGGTACTTTACGAGACTGATCGTTGTTAGTTTTTTTATTCATTGAAAAAAAATAAAGGCGTATCTATATAATGTTAATACCACGTGACCCCCATAAAACGATAATAATATTATTATATCACAATGTCATATCATTATAGTAATACCAAATTATCCAAATGATTACACAGATGCGTCAGAAATTCATATAGGTGGGTACTGGGCACGATTTAGACTGCTTATTTACGGTTGACTACCTATGCAAAGCCCAATGTTAATTCTAGTTTGTAATGTAACGCGTATATATTCTGATCATTTACATAGAGGATTTGCCACCATGGTATTGTGTTAGGTTAGGTTCATAGTACAGTGAATCCTCTAACTTTCTGAAGACATCTCGTCCACTGAAATTGTTTCCAATATTCGAAGATGTCTGCTTTTTAGAATATTCTGATTATACCAAATATGTATAGTTTTTTTTTTCAAAAAAATCTGCTGTTATTTGGTGAAGGCCGTTACGGGAGGTAACATGGTATATGTCTCCACGGCACAATTGTATTCATATAATGTACAATATATTATAATGTTCGATAAAAATCACTTATCGGAAAATTCGTTCGCTAATCATTTCGGTTCGTGGTCTCTTGTGGTTCGCTGTTATTGTCATCGTCATCGGCAACGCGTGGTGATCGTGTCACACAGTTGCATATATTATCACAATTTACCGATGCGTACCATTCAGTTTCACATTATAGCTCCGCGGTCCGTTAGTTCGTGCGTGTATGCGCTTTCATTGCTATGGCGGTGGACGGTGGTGGTCCACGTCATCACGTCACGCAGCCGCCGCCACTGCCACGTGGTATATTATATAATTTTCAGTACACAATATAATAATAATAATAATTATACAATGAACAACGAGTGAGTGAGCAGCAGCAGCAGTAGTGTTGCATTACGAATCTTTACGAGAAAACCACCCTTGCTGCCGCCGCGGGCACAGAGTAACTTCCTCGCGAGACCACCGGATGGTTATATATACCATACATACACGCACGCACGCATGTAGTTTACCCGAGTTTCATTCCTATTCCACCGGATTGTAACTTCCGACCATCACATGACTGGCGAAAAATCTACACTAGTATACACTATAGTTTGTGCGGCGGTCTGTACTATGTGGGCGTTGGTAAATCATACACTGTGGGTCGTAAAGGGTGGTCCAGCTCTGCTGCTGCGGCCTTTTGCACGCGCGTAAATCATCATATACTATTTGCGTTTGAGCTTTTACACGCTATCGTCACTGTGCAATATTAATACGTATTTATAGCGCTGATGGTTGTGCGTATAATAATTATGATATAATAATATAGTGCGTTTCAGATGCGAGCGAAATGCGACATATTGCGCGGAAGTCCAACGATCGCCATACGTGGCTACAATGGCATGAATTCGCATGGCCTCGAGTGGCCCCGGGTGGTCATATAATAACATAGAGGTTTACTCACATAATAATAATATAGGGCTCCTCACCCTCGGAGACGTGTGATAATCAAATACGCCTTCACATATATAGCACATGACGAACCAACCAACTCGCCAAATCCCCTTTTTTTTTTATAGGTAGATATACAAAACTATAACTGTCGTGACCACGTCATCGGAAGGGTGTTTTCTCCKCTCACTCTACAGAATTAATATCGAAACCGTCAAACATTACATATCAACCAATCATGTCCAACTCGAAGTAATTATTAGGCATATTAACATTTGTCGAAAAAAACATTTTGCACAATTTTTTAATTTAATTTAATACTTACAATACTATTCAATTATCAGATGATAAGACGGAAATGTAGCATAATGTWGTATACCTCTYACTAACATAGTCATGACACAAAAGAAAAATTCTGAATTTTTTTTATTAATTATTGTTATCCGATTATGAGTGAAATTCATTCAAGGTCGATATCGATTTTATCAGGCGCGTATCGTATAGTCATTAAACGAAAAAACTAAATAAAACGTAATAAAACCGCTATATAATGGTATACGGAGGTATACGTAATACTAACATTAAGATCACCGGACTATCACTGTTGATATAGAACAGCTGTGAAAATTTATAACAACAATAATTATATCGAATCGTTTTGAAATCACTCGTCCAAAATTATATCGCGGGTATGATATTAATATTATAATGCCTACCAATTAGACTCAATATATAATTACGAAACATCGTGTGCAGAGTGCAGACGTATTTATTTATAATGTAAATATATAATAAATTATTTGACTTAGGTACCATAAGTCGTTTGGATATTGTAAATATTAAATTATAGCGATTTAAACTTTTGCTTAATATTTTATCATCAAACTATTTTTATTTATCGAACAAACGCCGTTTGAATAATACCTATGTTGATTTAAATGTTTTTATCCATGTATTTACCTAATGAACGCAACATTGGATGTAGTTTCAATAAAAATTAAGTGCCCAACTTTCCTTCGATACCGATACACTCCATTAATTTTTCAAACAAAAAAGTTAATTGGGAAAGTTTTTTTAATGCCTCTTTTTTCGTTTCATAAGTTCTAGTTTCATGATATTTATTTATTAGGTACATGTTATTTGCAGCTATTATATACGCATAAACATGAAATATTTTATTATAAAMCTATAGTATAGAATGAACAAATCTTTATTCTTTATTCTAAATATAGTTTACTTAACTACTAAGACTTCAGAGAAAGAATTTTGTTTCAGTCATTAACCAATGGCTTAAAAATAAGATGTTCATGTTTTGAATTTTTTTTTTTTTTGATTATCATTATTATTAAAGTTTATAATTAACAAGACGTCACTTTTTAACTTAAAAAATGGAAGTATTTTTTTTATGTAAAACAAAAGGTACCTACATAATACATTGAATTATTATACAGTTAAACGGGTTTTTATAGTATTTTATATTTTTCATTTAAAATAATACAAAAGTTGAATTCAATATTTACTTTGCAATATTAAACTGATTAAACCATCATATTAATTTAATTAAATAACAATTTTAAACTTTTCCGTGAGTTTTTTTATTAACTTTTGACATAATAAATACGATCTGCACACACAAGAGTTACGTATATATATTATATATATATATATATAGTTATTAAAAAAAAAATGTACACACAACATTGTCAGATAACGTCGACGTGGTTTTTTTCCTCAGTAATATGAATAACGCAATATAAACCGTATATAATATTGTTGTTATGGTGGGACTGGAGTTGGCTTAGCTGTCCAAAAATAACATTCGTTACGTCTGTATTAAGCCATAATATGAACCTTAACAACCAATCTGGATGATTCACCTATAAAWTTTTTTTTCATTATTATCTCACTCCACTTTTGTTCATTATTTTGGTGAATCTAATGTTTGTTACATATGATATTAAATTATATTAACATTAAACACTTGATATTCATATATAATGGTTATAACAATTATTTAAAACTGAAGAGCTTATTGCGCCTCGCACGTTTATCATTATCAATTTTTAATTTTTCCCCCGAAGTCTAAAATAATATATAATATATTTTAATAATACGGTTTATGTAACATTTGTATCGACTTTGTTACTATTTATTATATTTATTTATTATATTTAACTATTTCTTAGTCGTTTTTTTATAGTTAAACGATTTTCGATGAAATCTATACACATTGCGCAACGCCGTTTTCATGTATATTCTTAGGCAATAATACTCGAGAACTGAAAATACTTTTCCACAATTTACAAAAGAGTGTCGAATACATTTTCAGACAGCCATCGTAGTAGTATGGTGTTAAAAATAATAATATGTAATATGTATTATATTCTCAACATTTATATATAATACTGAACAAACAGTATATGTGATGTGTAAAAATCATATTTATATTTATGTTATAATATGTAGAACGGAAAAGAATACCATTTTTATTTATTAGCTTATGTATTACTTCGTTCAGGATCAGTTATCACATCGGTTGATATAATACTATTATAACCCTCGCTGTAGATCATCTGTGGTTACTAAACCGAGCAATGRCTGTTCGCTGGGTGAGACAAGTTAGGCACAGTCACACTKCAATTTACCTTAATCAAAATGTATTATGAGCCTAGTTATTATCAGTATCTAATTATTTTCCAAAGTATTAAAATAAATTCTATACAAAATGTAATTTATGATTTTGAATCAAAAATGACAAGCGAATCGATAGTAAAAAAAATGATAACAGCATGCGATTGGGTCAACCTACTGTTCGGTATAATATTGTTTTGTGGTACCATATAGTAAGACATAGTACAACCCACGAGTGCTATAATTCGTGGTTATGAGCAGCATAAAAGGGATGAGAGGTAAATAGTGAAAACATYAAAATTACGATTACTCATTAGATAGCGATTACAAAGCGAACCAAAGAGGCCCGAGAGGCAAGAGATGTTTGAGATCAGTTGCTATATTGTAATATAAATACTAAGTGGTAGGAGTGGGTTAGAAATATAATATGTTAAAATATGACAGATATAATTTTCCTCAGCGGTACCTATATCATTGTGTGTATGTAGTTTCTAAATAATTTAAACGACAAGACTTTATACAGATAATACTATAATTGAAGTAATATGATCAAGGAAATCGATAATATRTTATTTTATTACCCAACTATTTCCATTGATTACGTTGATTAMTTTTTAATTCAATTAAATTGAAATTTATCATTATACTAATTATAAGTAGATCGTAAATGTATCATAAAAGAGTATTTTCTTAACTTTTACATAATATTAATTAATACCTTGACAAAATTCATACTATCTATAATCTATTGAAATTTACTAAATGTCTGTCTCATCATTTACTAGAACCACGAGCAACTATTAAGTTACTCACTATACTGCTTGTAGTTCTTATTAGATGTATAAATTGAAATTTTTTTTGTCACTATTCAGTTATTTAAGTCATCATTTACCAGCTATTCATTTTTCATAATTGAACAGTTTTCGACAAAAAATTCTGTAAAAGTCATACTGTACGCTTTAATTGTTTTTATAAACAWCCTTAGCTGATAAAATTCCTCGGGGACTGCAGTAGATACTTCTCATCCGGCTCTTTCAAAAAAGTAGTGTCGAATATAGTTTAAGACAACTGTACGTAGTATGACGATAATAATAATAACAATAATAATAATATGCAAATTATTGTATTCTCGATATTTTTCAGGAAACAAACAATAATAATATGTGATGTATAAAAATTGTAAATGTTATGTATAACGGAAATAAATATTATCATGATTTTTATAAACGTATGTGTTACTTCGTTCGTGATTGGTTATCGTATCGGTTGTTATAATAATAATATTATTATTACCCTCGATATATATCGTCTATGGCCACTCGCCTATTCTCGCAAAAGTTGACGTGGCGCCTTTAATTCGTCGTTCTTCTGTGGCTCTATAATAAACTCTACGCGTTTTCCCTAAAACCATTTTTCATTTACCATCTCGCTTGCCGTTGTAAACAATTTTTGAGCGCACTACTCCCTCCCCTGTCCCTACCTTCAGACTTTATATATATGTATGTATGTATATACACTATCTCATCACACTCCTACTCTCTGTATACTCACCAAGTTTATAGACAAAAAAGATTCACACTCCACCTCTCGTCTGTTATGGTGTACAGAGTCGTGATACGATTTAAGTTTTTCAAAGTTATTGTTCATTGTCGAAATTCGTTTCTTAACTCTTGTTTGTAAAAACACAATACAGTAAAAAAAAGATGTAATTTACTTTTGAAAGTATTGGCGGTGATATTTCGATACATTATTGCCACAAATATATATATATATTATTGTGCATGTATTGCCAGTGAACGTGTGCAAATAGTATATATGTGTGCATTTTCATTTTCTGTCTGTATACGTCTCTGCCTGTCTTTCTTTCAACTATCTGAACCGTGTAATTTCGGATCCCGTCATTCAGGTTTCTGACATTTTTTCTACCCTCTGCAATGACTCGCGATTGACACAAAGAAACACTATCACGTGAAGTTTTTGAAACACGAGCCAATCAGAGTTTGCACATAGACGGGGGAAAAAAAGAGTCTAATGAATTCCTCGGAACAAATACAATAAAGCAGGTATAGATACCTACGCAGTATAGTTGATATATAAAGATAAAACAGGATAAGAAAAAAGCTTAAAACGAMCTTTACAAACCTTAATCTCGAGTTATAATTGCTCCTAAATCCTAAAACCGAATTTATGAAATTGCATTTTCTCTGTAATTTGTTCTGTGCTGATATCGGTTTATGAAAGTGTTTGGCTTGGATTGCTACCAACAAGTTGTTCTGTTGAGTATAATATTTTGAAGAAACACCGATGTTTCTTATACAGGTGCCTTCTCGTTTCAATCAAACCATAAATAGAAATATGAAAGAGTCAAATCGCGTTGTTCGTTTTAGTATGAAATATTTAAGTGTTTTCAAGATTATAAAAGGAGCTTTTATTTTTATAAAACGAATTATACGTCTTGACAATTTTCAAGAACGTCTGTCAGCCTAGTAAAATTGAAAAGTTTTACTTGACATGCCCATATATGTATCAAAACGTATCATTTGTATTTGTATTTTTTTTTCTGATTATTGCTAAGTAGATATTTGGTGAAAATAATATAGTATCGTAAAATAATAAAATTTATTTCATATTTACTTGTGTGTACTATAATAATATAATATAACGTTCTATAATTTTTAACGGTTAAGCACAGAAGTATATTTATAAAAGTAACTATAATAACTATGAATGTACAAAGTATATAAATAAATATTTATCTAGAAAGAGATATTGCTTTTATTGCTTTTATTACTAGGATTTTAATATTATCATTAATATTATTTTAAACCATTGGATTTTTATTTATTATCAAGCAAAATAATTTAAAGATAACCGTAACTTTAATCATAGACCTAAAAAAATATTTATGAAATTGCGTGATACCGAATACCTTTTTTTTTATTAAGCTTTTAAGATATATAGTAATTATATTGTAATGAATTCAGTGGTTTCCAAGAATGATTGTCAAAAATTTAAAAATTTATTAAAACTATTCTGAAAGTTTTCTTAAAAAAAATAAACTTCTGGATGGAAAGTGTCTGATTAAGGCTGTCGGGACTGACAGGAATCGTTCCCAAAATGAAAAAAAAAATGGAAATTCTAAAACTTTCAGAAACGCGTCGAATTCAGAAGTTGTGTTCGTTTTTTTAATCAGACTAAATTTAAGAATACCTTGACAGCTTTAGCGYAATCTGTGTGTGTGTGTATTTCATAGATAAGTATTATTTGTTTAGTTTATTGCTTTCTGGCATTTCTTATGCTATTTATGAATGTATATTATTTTAATTTTGGATGCATTATGCAATGCATAGGTACTATAAACATACCTTTATGATTCTGAACCATATTTCACATACAGAGTGACCCACAGAGATCTGACATTCTGACAAATGAAATAACTTTTATTCTAATCAATATTTTTTTTAAATGTCTTTTAAATATAATCCATAGACACTTGYGCTACATTTTTAGAATACATTTTTTATTTTTTAATACTGATAATAAAAAACTTAAAAATTGATAAA